ATCTATCTATCTATCTATCTATCTATCTATCTATCTATCTATCTATCATGGATTATCATACGTATGTATCCTGCTGGAGGGATGATTCTGCTTGATATATTAGCAAGGCAACATAAGGCAACAACGTAGCCACAGGCCATTCTTGTCTCTATAGTCAATTGCCTTGTTCTAGCTACAGTATAGCAAGGATTGTCTAGCTCTAAAAAGAAGCACCATGTGGCTAATCTGTTACAAAGTATGACCTTCCATTGCCTTAAGTAACCTCCCAAACAGTAAATGCAAACTAATTTGTATTGTATTATTAACTAATAATAATACTATTTTCTAAACCACAGTGACCTTAAAGATAGTCTGTCTTCCTGGTTTATGTCATAAAGTAGTTTATGGATAAGTATTACATTTATATATCTCTCACGCTTTTAGTGGGTAATGTTTCATTGGCAGAAAAATAATAATGATGGACTGTTCATGGCATGTGAGTAATACATATTACATTGCATTTGGTTTTCCAATGCATTCTTGCTGCTTTATTGTACATTGCTCAAAGTGTGACATGATGGAGCAATTACAAATATTTTAATTAAACAAATATGTTAAGATTTATTTCTCTGACTTTGTATCAGTTTGGTTTTTCCCAACGTATAATTTCAGCCTGGATTCAATCTTGATGGGTTTTTCTTTTAATATCAAGGCTGAACTTTGGAATGTAGACATTTATAATAAAAATAGCAACTGAGCAAATATGAAGTGCTTTTCTCCTCATTGCTGAATAAAAATCACAGTGGCTAAGTCCACACAATAGATTGCCACAATTTGTGTAACAATAGTTAATCACAGTAGTCAATTGTTTGGGTTCACACCATGCACTAAACCAAGAATACAAACAGCAGAGCCCTGGAGCACATTGCAGAGCTTTAGAGCAGGGGCCTCCAACCTTGGCAACTTCGAACTGTTTTTAAGTAGTAACTGAAGAGATGATAAAATTTGAGCAGAACCTGTGGACTTAAAGCTTTGCTGGCTGAGGAATTCTGGGAGTTGAAGTCCACAAGTCTTAAAGTTGCCAGGGTTGGAGACCCCTGCTCTAGAGTGTGTGTCATTCTTTTATCTTTTCTGAATTTGATGGATTGGGGAGATATTAAGTAGTTAAAACAAGCCATTAAAAAAACAATTTGGGACTGTATAAATTTGGGACTGTATAAGGTCCCAAAACCATGAAAAAGGGCTTTCAGCTCTACATACTGTGACTTCTTTCTTCTTAAAAAGTTGAAAAATAAGTGCTATAATCTTGAAAAAGATTCTCATTATCTAATGAAGAAACAATAATATACGGGTAGTCCTCAACTTACAACCATTCATTTGGTGACCATTTGAAGTTACAGTGGCACTGAAAAAATTGACTCATGACTGTTTTTCACACTTAGGATTGTTGCAGTTCCCCATGGTCACATGATTTGGCTGCTTGGCAAGTGGCATGTATATATGACAGTTGCATGGTCCCAGGGTCATGTGATTACCATTTCTAACCTTCCCGTTGACATCCAACTAGGAAAGTCAATGGGTGAAGCTAG